GCTTGTGCCTATAGATCATGGTCTCTGCCTCCCTGAGTGCCTAGATGATCCTTACTTTGAATGGCTAAACTGGCCTCAAGCTTTGGTTCCATTCACCGACACTGAGCTGCAGTATATATCCAGTCTGGACCCTTTCAAAGACGCTGAGCTTCTGAGAAATGAGCTACACTCTTTGCCGGAATCTGCCATACGGGTCCTCATCGTCTGTACGATTTTCCTGAAACAAGCTGCAGCTGCGGGGCTCTGTCTCGCTGAGATAGGCGAGAAGATGACACGGGATTTCTCTAGAGGTGAAGATAGTTTCAGTCTGTTGGAGAGACTCTCCACCAAAGCGAAAGCAACTGCAGCTGGCAAAACTTGCCAAGGCGGTGACTATAGTTACAAAAGTAATGATGTGAACACGGAGCCAGTTTGTGGCATGTTCAAGTTTGAAGGTGGAGACACCCCATGTGAAGTGGAGGTTCATGTATCTAAACCACCTTTGGCACCAAAAGGTTCACGTGCAAACTCTTCGATGTTGTCCTCAGAAAGCCAACGGATGATGACTCATCTTGAGAAACCTACAGTGAATGCAAAAGAGAAGAAGAGAGGAAGCACCATGAGGAGCAGGAGCCCACCAATGTTTGTGAACCATGCTGAATCAGAAGGTGTCTCTTTCGGGGACATGACAACAGTTGAATGGGATATGTTCCTGCAGAGCTTCCAGACACTTTTGCAAGATGCACTGAGCAAAGGGTCAACGCCAAGATTAGGAAAACAATAAAAAAAAAAATGAAGACAAGAAAACGACAACAACCAAAGAGATGATGAAATCTCAGAAGGTTTAAAACTTTCAGGTGTTTATAAATTAGGTACAAGTGTGCATTACTGCCAAGATGACCATAGTGCAGGCTGTAGGCTAACTATTAATAAACCTTAGAAAGCATAATGGATTATGAGACGAGCAGACTAAGCCGTCCACTCCAATATACTTCTTATTTTTCTTCTTTCTCATCCCCCCCCTATTGTATCACCTTATTCTGATATATTTAAGTGCCATCAATTTCTATATAAAACAAAAATCATTTGTAATATGTAACTGATGTTATCAGGAATATATGCACTCAAGTTAAGTTTCCCTGTTCTTATTTCTCTCAAGAAAGAATTACACTTTTTGTACTGGTTGTGTTCAAGTGCCAGACTCACTTGTTCTGTTGTTCATAATATACCAACAACTAACTCCTCTCCCTCGTAACACACCTCTCCCTTGTTATAACCTTCTTTTGCAGCTGCTGCTTACCTTCTCCTTGTATGATACATAGGCTTTAAGAGAGGTCTATCAATATTACTGTGGGTCAATAACCCAAGCTTCAATGCAACGCAGTTGAAATAAGTTGTATGTAAAGAAGTTGCATCTTGAATAATACTGTATACGAATTGGTTTCCTAGTAGATCCTTTCAGCTGTAGACACTGGCCGCAGGAAGATGACAATGACAGTGATGTTATCGCCACTACCACGTTCTGCAGCCTCGGTTGCTAATCTCTTGGAACACATCGAAGGTTCTTTTACAGTATCCCTGATTATACCAATAACTTCCTCATCGTTCACCACATCCCAGAGCCCGTCACTCGCCATTACCTAACAAAGTCAGACCTATTATGTCTCTCGATTGGCGTATAGAGAACCAAAATTTTATATGATCAAATTTACCAGGAACTCATCGTCATCTGATAAAATGGTCTCACTAATCTCTGGTTCTGCGGTTACAGCTGGCTTCAGGTCATCATCTCCTATCGACCGTGTAACCTGTTACAAGGAAAGTATATATTGAATAGCCAATGATGGACCAACTTCATGTTCCTTTAATGTTTTGAGGAAGTATGTCAAATACATAACGGGCGAACCTGAAGACCAGCAGGAGCAACTCTCCATGTGTCAACCAGCCATTCAATACGACCACCTTCTCCAATCACACGATTTCTTTCCTCAATACAGGTGGCTAAGTGTGCCTGATTTCAATGCCAGAGCTGAGTTGCAGGAAAATAGAATACAAAACTAGCACATCTTTAGAAATTGTAGTTCCCATCTCACCTTACTTAGAGCAAAAGGATGGCCAGCACGGCATAAAATTGCCCTAGAGTCACCAATATTCGCAACGAAAAGCTTATTGTCCACTATGAGAGAAGCAATAGCAGTACAACCAGGATGCCAGTCTTTCTGACTCACCCTTTTTGATTGACGATGGGAATCAAGTTCATGTCTGAAAGCTAAATCCGTCCTAACAAATGCTTGTGACAGTGCCTCGCCAGCGCTGAAATGAGACATAGGAATGAGTTTTCAAACAAACCACGCCAAAGAGTAGGAAAAGCTTGAGCTGAGCATTAACCTTGTGGAAGATAAGCTTTGAATCAATCCTGGCAAAACTTGAGCAGAAAATTCAGCAGCTGCAGCACCTGCATGTCATTTAAGGTGCCATTATATACCCTATTTGATGAAAAACTAATGAATTTTAAGTAAAATGAAAAAGGCCACATGTAAAAAATTTCGATTTTGATGTGGCCTAGGGATTTGAATTGGCAGTTGGTATACCTCTATGGCCATCGAAGATGGCAAATAAGTGGATGTTTTCCTCATTACACATGCGGGGCATGAGGAAGTGTGTATCTTCCATGGATTCACGTCTTCCACATGTTGCAAAAGACCCACAAGAAACTATAGGGACATGTCTTGAAGAGTCATTTGTTGAACTGCACCACGATTTCAAACCAGCGACAGTGGAAAGAGACAATTCATCGGATAAACACTGCCCTTGACTGGACCAGTTAATGTTGTCCCTGTAATCTCCTGTATTTTTAATGGCCTCCCCATCTTTATCACTCCTGGAAATAGAAGTTGTCTCAAGGAAGTGACCTTGCTGATTTTCTCTCTCTTGTTCCCAGAGTGATTCTAGTTCCAAAACCACTTGGTCCAAGGAAGGCCGCTTAGAAGGATCAGCTCCCCAGCACTTTTGTATCAGAGACAGTAAACTCTTCGGCACGTGCAATCCAGTTTCCGCCAGAGCAGGTCGCAGACCAGAAGACACAATGGCAGCTGTAAGTTGCTGCTCTGTGTAATTCATCTCTAAAACAGTGTGAGCCTGCCATCCAGATATGTACAGGGTTACAGTTTGTGTCACGAATGAAAAGAACAGGAATGCGTTTATATGTACTTGAACTAGACATCTAAATGTAATTGACTACATGTCCCAGAAACTGTATAAATTGTGCTCGCCAAAGTTTTACAATATCTCTAAACAGTCAAATAGATGCAGTTCAGGAGCCTGAATATACGAAGATAAAGCTATTATATATAATTAAAGGCTTCTCATGGACATGTCAGAATGCGAAAAGGGGAAATATATTTGAACCTGAGCTTCTGCACGAAGATCAGTATATGGAACAACTCCAGTTAAAAGCTCACTGCAATGTAAAACATGAAACAGACTTCATAAGCAAAGATCTTCTAGGAAGAAAGCTAAACAAACCGCAAAGAAAATTAAATATATGAAGGAAAAATGAAAATGTAAGAAATACAAGGAAGAAGCGGTTCAGTTTCTACTCAAGAAAATGCTCACTTGATCAAAATCCCAAAGCTATAGATATCTGATTTCTCAGTATACATCTCTTTCCTTAGTATCTCAGGGGCCATGTAAATAAGTGTTCCAACCATATTCTTCTTGTGAAAACCACCAGTTGGCTTTCCCGACGATCTCCAGTTGTGCAGATTAACTTCTCGCAAGTCCTTCTTGTATTCTGCTAAACCAAAGTCAGCCAGATATGGGGAAAGCTTCTCATCAAGCTGCATCAATAAAAAAAATCAATTATTTTATCAGACATTCTGTAAGAAATAAGAAAGACAGAGAAATCTAGATGATGGAAGAAGAGCATTACAAGAACATTTGCTGGTTTCACATCCCTATGGACAATTCCATTGTTGTGAAGATATTGCAATGCCTTTGCTAAATCATGAAACACACAGAAGTAGATATTCGAATTAGTAACCAATCACAAGAAATCGACAGAGTAAGACACAATGGCGGCAAAAACAAAGATTGATCCTTTTAAGCCGTACCCAAGTGAAGCGTGATCATCAACACTTGATCGATACTCGGAGACCACTCCTCGGCGTGTAACTTCTCAGCCAAGGTCCCAGACTCGTACATCTCAAAGAAAAACATGTAATTGGGAGGCTTCGCGTGTGCTGCCACTAGCTTAGCCAAACCCGGATGGTCAAGATTGCTTTCACCGATACAGAGACAAATGTGTTCAAGTAAGAAGATGTAACATTGTGCAAATGTGTTCAAGTAAGAAACTTTTCAAATGGAACGAGAGATATAGAGACCATAAGAGCTGCAAATGCCTGTGGAACTTGTCGAGGTCATCGGAAGTAGACAGGATAGGCTTCTTCGCCGCTACTCTTCGGCCGTCGAGAATCGCTTCGTAAACCACACTTTCTGATCCTGAAAAGAAAAATGCCCACACGAATCGAATTCATAACCGAAGGCAGACGGAGAGAGAGGGTGTGTTGTGGATGAGAGAAGAAGCAGTACCACTAGCGATTGGGGAGAGAAGAGTGAAAGAAGAAGGAGGGAGATGAAGAGGAATCAATTCACTGGTGCAACATCCTCTAATGCAGGTGTTTGGCTCCACAATTTCCATCACCATTTTTTTTTCTGAGCAGGAGGAACGAAGCAAGAGGAGCGATCGAGTGATGACGACGACGACGAACTCCTCAATCTCGCAGCTCCGGCCTAGTTGGAGAATGCATACTGTTTTCGTGTGTTTAAAACGCTTAAAAATAAATGTAAATACACACAGCTTGCCGTTTTTCTGGGATATTTTCTTATCTCTTTGTCTTTTCATATATATTAACCACTCTGGTGAAGACACGTGTCATTTATTTCTCGACTGGTCACTTTCCTTCCTTAATCGCCAAGCAACGTACAGAGACCGACGAGGCCTAAACTTGTGTGAATCTGAAATGGCAAGATCCAAAAGTCCTCTATTAAAGATGGAATCAAAGGCCTTCGGTTCTATTACAGTCTCGATTATTACCCTTCTTCTCTGTGTAACAATTCAATTAGGGATTTGCAGATCAGAAGAGAAAAGAACGGAGAAGACGATGATGCTAGGAGGCGTTCATGATCTCCGAGGAAACCAGAACAGTGGAGAGATCGAGAGTCTTGCTCGATTTGCCATTCAAGAGCATAACAGCCGAGAGGTTTTTAATTCCTCTGTTTTCTGGTTATGTATGGATCCTTCATTTGTCTTTAGTTTTTTTTTTTTTTTTTTTTTCGGGTAATTGCAGAACAAGGTTCTTGAGTTCAAGAAGATTGTGAAAGCAAGAGAGCAGGTTGTTGCAGGAACCATGTACTACTTGACTCTAGAAGCAAATGAAGGTGACAAAACGAAGAATTTCGAAGCCAAAGTGTGGGTGAAGCCATGGATGAACTTCAAGCAATTGGAGGAGTTTAAGGAATCCTCCACTTGAAATTTCCATGTTTCTGTTAAATTCTCTGAGAATAATGAGTCTGAGATAGCTTGGTTTCGGACCAGTGTGTGTTATGTATTGTTATAGATTGAAACTTAAAGTTAATGTAATAAAAAAAAAACTTGTTCTGTTTCCTGCAATTCGCTTATGTGTATTGGCTTTCTGTTCATTCTTATGCATCCATACAACATTGCAACGCCGGATCAAAGATGGTAAACTCAATAACAAAGAAGCCAGCTTCTTTGATTATCCATGAGACAGTTGACACAGCTAATCTCATCAAAAGTATTCGATGATAAACCACAAAGAAACATGTGTTCAAAACAACAGCAAGAGCATCAGCAGAAGGGTAGATCAGAGAGAAAGATTTACATGTCGAAAGGCACGCGTTTATACAGATCCGAAGGCAAACGAGGAGAGGCAACGGCGTGAACAGGGGTACGCATGTAAGTAACAAGTCCAGGGTTTTCGGACATGTCAATCTCCTCTGGTTTAGTCCCTTGAGGAGGTGTCCAAACAAAATGGTGAAGCAAATGACTCATCATCGAAGTCACCAAATTGATACCGAGTTGTGCACCTGGACAAACCCGCCTTCCTGCTCCAAAGGGAAGCAGCCTAAAGTCATGACCTTTCATGTCAACATCTTCTTCCAAGAATCTCTCTGGTCTAAACTCTAATGGGTTTTTCCACACGGCCGGGTCTCTAGCCACCGCCCAAACGTTCACGTGAACGTTTGATCCTTTGGGAATGTCGTACCCTCCGATCTTGACGTCTGCGTTTGATCGGTGAGGAAGCATCAGAGGCGTCGGAGGGTGCAGCCTGAATGATTCTTTAACCACGCATTGCAAGTAAGGTAAGCGTGAGAAATCTGGCTCGGTTAAGACCCGGTCAAGTCCAACCACTCTGTCGAATTCTTCTTGCACTTTTTGTTGCACTCTTGGATTCTTGATCATTTCCGCCATCGCCCATTCCGCTGTTATCGCTGTCGTGTCCATCCCCGCCGTGATCATATCCTGCGCATTTACCAAACGTGAGCAACAAGAAACCAAAAATGAACTATAACCAGATTATGCAATCCTTCCTGCTAACTAAAACTCGTGCATCGTCCCACAAACACTTCCAAACCTAAAGATTCAAAACGTAGCTCAAATGATTTCATATAAACCACTAAAAACGCACCCAAAGAAGACCAATGATAGTGTCCTCGCTAAGATCATACTGATCCTTCAACGTAAGCAACGCATCAACGAAATGCTGCTTCGCTCCGCTAGACTTTTGACGGGCCAAAGTGTGTTCCTCCATGATAGCTCGCGTGAGGAGGTCGCGGCGAGCACCGTGCTGCGCAAAAGCCTTCTCATCGGCCGGAAACATCCACCGGAGCCACGGGATGTGTTCAGCTATCGACAGTGAAGCACCTAGCTTCAGACCGTTGGAAACAATGGCTTTGAACTCAAGCCCTTGCTCGTCCATCACACCTTCCGCGTTCACAAAACGCTTCCCGAACGCTAGCCGCGTTATGTTGTTGAACGCAACCGCTCCTAAGTACTTCCTCACTTGTAAACCTTTCGTTCTGTTTTCTGAGATCGGAAAATTAGCAAATTCAGTGATGAGATAAATCATTATTGAAATACAACTACAGGCATAAATATACGGTACTTAAAATTATCTACATAAATCAGATTCAAAAATAAAAATGTAACATAAATAAATATGATCCTTTCCAAATTCCGACACTAAAGAGTAAAGGCCACGCGCGGCTTACGTTATTTTGTTGGTACAAAAAAGACAAGTTTTGTAAGAAACCTCCGTTCTTTCCAAAGACCAAAAAATTACGACTTTGAGAAATTTTCTCTCTTACCGCTTTTGTTATTTTGTATATATCGAAATTTTCTTCGTCGGTGCATTTTCACACAAATCGTATCCAAAATGCTCTTTTATTCTTTACCTCTTTTGAAAAATCATTTAATGGATATAAATAAAGCTCCTTTAATGGTCTACAAACGACGACGTACCAGGAAGGTTACAGTCTCTGAAGACGGATTCAACCATAGCAGTGACCTCATCTTCACGGATAGGTCTGAGAGACTCGAGTCGTTTGGGTGTGAAGAGCTCAAGCGTGCAAACTTTCCTCACCTTCACGTAGTGGGGCCCATAATCGGCCCATATTAGATCCTGACCGTTGCGGCTAAATGCTTCCGTCGATCTGTTCCGGTGCCGGTCGGCGAGTTTCTGGTCTTGATCTTTGAGGACTTCTTTCGCTAGCTCGGCGCTAGATACGACCACATTTAGAATCGAACCGATCCAGACCGATATGATTGGTCCATACGTTTGAGCCCACTCGTAGTAGCATCTGAACCGGACCGGTTTTATGTCGTAGAGGTTACCGACGATCGGCTTCGGACGTGGGCCAGGTGGGAGCTTGAATCTCAGCCGTTGGATCAGCTTGTAAGATACAAAGGCGGTGACAATCGCCGCCGCTATAAGAAACCACGACATGGGATTTGTTTATTCTTCTAGTCAGGGAATGAAATCGACTATTATTAAAAATAAAAAAAAGGTGTAAAATCGAATTCACTTCTAGAATTCTAGATAGATGTGGTCGAGACTTTGATTTATATTAGGGGTGGGGTTGGTGAACCGATTTGTTTTGCTTGTTTTGTAATAATAAATTTGGAAAATATGTATTGTTTTTAGCAAACAAATAATCAATCTATTATGTAAAACAGGAAAAAAATGGAGTTAAATTGCAAAGTTCGCGGCACAAATAAAAAAGCGGATAATGTCGATTATTGATGATGTTAGGGGGAAAGTTGGCAAAGCAAAAGAAGAAAAAACAGAAGTGGACAAAGATCTATATACGATATAACTTTTTTTTATTCAAATAGTTAGTCTCCTTGAATATTGATCTTTTAGATTTGAGGTTTATACTAGTTATATATACCATCGAGGGAAAAAATTAATTACTTTGGATTTCACTGGATTTCTATTACTAATTTAGTGTTCTTGACTTGAGGTAAGGAAAGTCTGTATTTGAACCAAAAAAAAAAAGAGGTAAGGAAAGTCTTTCTGTTTCTGTTTCATAATTTCACATTAATATCTTTCATAAAATGTCAACGGTTGAATTAAATAGTTTATGAGAAGTTGTTCGTTTTTTTACAACGTAAAATGTTAGTTTAGTTATTAGTCGAATTGTAAGCATTATTACTGCATTAGTGTTAAAACAAATGCTAGTTAGGTGTTAGTTAAGGAAAGGCACGTGAACAACAAAAATTAGGGAACAAATATAACTCTGCAAATAGAATAATAAGCAGCTTCGTTCTAGTAATTCGAAAATAGAAAAGTCTAATCTACACTAAATTAGTAGTATTGTTTTGTCTGCTGCCATCATAAAAATTCTTAGAATCACAATCATGTTTTCTATTCCAAAAATTAAATTATTACTGGATGTTTTTTATTCATCTCTCTAACATAAGATAAGACCGTGGTCACAAGCGTTTCGATAGCGAGTGGGGAAGCGTAGGATGGTTTAGTTTTGGGGTTGGTGTGAGGGACACGTCAGCTTTATGGGCAATCACATGACGTAAAGAGGGTTGGTGGTGTGATCCGACCAGACAAAGCTGCGTGCGACTGATGATTTAGACTCACTCATTACAACAAGCCTTTCATCTTTGGCCAATTGAATTTTCAAAACAAAAAATTTCTACAGACTTTTCACGTCAATTTAACTTTAAAAATCACTGTAACCTTAGAAAACAAATTTAGTTCGATATATTTTATAGTCTTGTATGAGAATAAACTATCCAAGAATCAATCAGTTGTTAGGAAATATTATACCGTATTTTTATTTTAAAAACAAAAACAAAAAAAAGTGGTGTGGGAGAGTCGGTGTTGTATGTTGGGCTTAGTGGGACCAGACGAGTTGGTGAGTGTGTTTGGTGAGACGTAAAATTTATATTTTATTGTGGATTTTTTCTTTACGAGTCTTGTAAATTTTTGGTTGATATATTCATTATAGGTGAGAGTTCAATGATTCAATATTTGGTTCGGTAAGACGTAGGTGTTATTTAACAATTAACATACGTTAGAGGTTATATATTGTGGAGGTGTTTAAATGCCTGGCGAAACTTCTCCCAGTTTAATGCTTTTTGAACACACATTTATTTGTTGAACATGTTAATTACATGCATTTTTTCTTGTCAACAATATATGAATTTCAATTACTATGACATAATAACGACGACAACACAAACCATTAAATTACAAAGGTATCACCAAACTCACAAATCAAAAGTTGGTACCAGATCAAAAGAGAATATGGATTGAAGTTCCCTATCTTCCTGGTTTAATTTTCTTCAATAGTTAATGGGCTATGGGCCCAGAGTATATGTAAGCAGAAGGTCTGACTTCGTTGTGGAACAGTTCGTAAGGGTGCTGCTATGTTGACTTGAAGTTTATGACCTACTTAGAAACTCATCACTACTTTCACACTTTCCTTCGTGATCTTCTTCCTCTTCCACGATTTACCAATAGTCTATATATCTCAACGACAAGAAGAATAATCAATATGTGAAAATTTGAGAATTGATATAAAATTCGATCCATGTTTCGTATCATATTACTAACTTCTTAATTCTGATTTCAAGATACTTTCATATGCCTCTCAAAATCTTTTGTTGACAAGAGCAATAGCCTCTCCATTCACTATCACCAATTCATGATCATCTGAAATATCGTCTTGCCATAATAAAGGATATAATAATTAATATGAAAGCTTGTAAACCGACACTTAGTTTTTGTTTTTTTGTGTGTGCATCCACCGACACTTAGTTTAAAACAGTGGAAAATATACAACTTTTGTTATGCATATATAACAGCTTCACTAAATCGACAATATATTCGTAAATATAATATAGCAGTTGCGTATTAATACTAAATGCGGTGATTTACAAAAGTTTATAGGCTATATAGCTAGTTAAAGATCAAAATCGATGGTACATCAA